TGTTGACCAGGATGGTCTCGATCTCTTGACCTTGTGATCCACCCGCCTCGGCCTCCCAAAGTGCTGGGATTACAGGCGTGAGCCACTGCGCCCGGCCTCTAATTTTTTTTTAAGACGGAGTTTCGCTCTTGTTACCCAGGCTGGAGTGCAATGGCGCGATCTCGGCTCACCGCAACCTCCGCCTCCTGGGTTCAGGCAATTCTCCTGCCTCAGCCTCCTGAGTAGCTGGGATTACAGGCACGCGCCACCATGCCCAGCTAATTTTTTGTAGTTTTAGTAGAGACGGGGTTTCACCATGTTGAGCAGGATGGTCTCGATCGCTTGACCTCGTGATCCACCCGCCTCGGCCTCCCAAAGTGCTGGGATTACAGGCTTGAGCCACCGCGCCCAGCCCTGTATATTCAGTTTTAACTCTATGAATCTCATTTGCAAATCAGAATTAGAAAAAGTTAAATTAGTTAAAATAAATGTTTAATTACACATTAAAAATTACCATGTATATAAAATAGGGCAATGTTTTTCCAACAAAAATATTAAAAATTGAAAATAAATTGAATAACACTCAATGAGTGAACTATGAACACAGAGAACTACAGAAAATCAGAAAACTGGAAATAGCAAATATATTTAAAATATTAGAAAAACAGGCCAGGCATGGTGGCTCATGTCTGTATTCTCAGCACTCTGGGAAGCTGAGGTGGGCAGATCACGAGGTCAGTAGATCAAGACCGTCCTCGCCAAAATGGTGAAACTCTGTCTCTAATAAAAATACAAAAGTTAGCCGGGTGTGGTGGCAGGTGCCTATAATCCTAGCTACTAAGGATTCTGAGGCAGAAGAATTGCTTGAGCCTGGGAAGTGGAGATTGCAGTGAGCAGAGATTATGCCACTGCACTCTAGTCTGGTGACAGAGACTCTGTCTAAAAAACAAAGAAAAACAGAAATTATGAAGGTAAAAAATACAAAAAGGAGTAACTGAAAAATCTCTAAAAACTGATGCAAAAATGAAGAAGCTCAACAAACAAGGATACAGAGAAAGATATTTATATGAAACACACATGTAAGCACAATTTAAAAAGTCACAGAAGGCTGGGTGCAGTGGCTCACACCTGTAATCCCAGCACTTTGGGAGGCCAAGGCAGGCAGATCACAAGGTCAGAGTTCAAGACCAGCCTGACCAACATGGTATAACTCTGTCTCTACTAAAAAATTTAAAAATTAACTGTGTACGGTGGCACATACTTGTAATCCCAGTTACTCAGGAGTCTGCGGCAGGAGAATCATTTGAACCCAGAGGGTAGAGGTTGCAGTGAGCTGAGATTGCACCACTGCACTCCAGCCTAGGCGATAGAGCGAGACTCCTCAAAAAAAAAAAAAAAAAAAAAAAAAAAAAAGTTGGGTATGGTGGTGCACACCTGTAATCCCAGCTACTCTGGAGATGCAGGGAGGGTCTCTTGGGTCCAGGAGTTCAAGGCACTTTAGCCTGGAGGACAGAGTAAGACCCTGTCTCAAAAAAAAAAAAAGTCACAGAAAAGAGTATCTTGGGAGCTGCAAACCCACCACTTTGGGAGGCCAAGTCAGGCGATCACCTGATGTCGGGAGTTCGAGACCAGTCTGACCAATATGGAGAAATTCTGTACTAAAAACACAAACCTAGATAAGTGTGGTGGTGTATGCCTGTAATCCCAGCAAGTCAGAGGGCTGAGGCAGAAATTCTTGTACCTGGGAGGCAGAGGTTGAGCTGAGTTGAGATCGCACCATTGCACTCCAGCCTGGGCAACATGAGCAAAACTTCGTGTCAAAAAGAAAAAAAAAGTAATATGTTATTTGCAGGAATACCCTTATGAGATAGGCAGTGAATTCTCAAAAATTTTGCAGGCCAGAATCAAACTGTGTAATGTAGTCAAAGTTTTGAAAAATATAGCTATCAAGTGGGTAAAATACCATCACCAAATCTGTCCTACTAAATAAAAAGAAAAAAAACTTCAAAAATAACTAAATTCTAAAAAAGTATTGGCACTGCCTTACATATAAAAGGTGCAAAGAATCCAATAGCACAAGAAATAAATATTACTAAGTCTGTTTTAGAAAACTTTCCAATCAAGAGACATACTTTCTTTTTTTTTTTATTTTTATACATTTTTATAGAGACAGGGTTTCACCATGTTGGTCAGGCTGCTCTCGAACTCCCGACCTCATGTGATCTGCCTGTCTCAGCCTCCCAAAGTGCTGGGATTACAGGCGTGAGCCACCGCGCCCGGCTTAAGAGACATACTTCCTTTTTTGTTTTGAGACTAAGTCTCACTCTGTCACCCAGGCTGGAGTCCAGTGGTGAGATCTTGGTTCACTGCAACCTCTGTTCTGTTTCCTGGCTTCAAGCAATTGTCCTGCCTCAGCCTCAGGTGTGCAACACTGTACTCAGCTAATTTATGTATTTTTTTTTTTTTTTTTTTTAAGAGATGGGGGTTTCACCAAGTTGGTTAGGCTGGTCTTGAACTCCTAATCTTGTGATCTGCCTGCCTCGGCCTCCCAAAGTACTGGGATTTACAGAGGTGAGCCACCGCTCCCAGCCCCGAAGAGACATAATTTCAATAAAGAAATGTATTTAAA